ACTTTCCTAGTTGATGACCTTGTGATCGGCCCAACGAATTGTTTGAGAAAATGGATCGTATATCCGAGTGTCGTAAACAGTGGCGCTTGTGCACCTACTCACCACCTAAGCAATGCTATCTAATCCGCATTCCATCTGTATCGAACTAAAGACTAAACTGATAATTCTTCCACCTCTACCTTGTATTCGGAAGTGAATGCACAATGCAAACTACCATTCGTTTTAGAGAACCTCAGCAGAACCCCATCCCCTACAAATTAATCATTAAAACTCATAACAAACTGGGGTTATGAAATGCACCCCTTCCAGTTTTGTTTACAATAAATTTAACTCCTTGCAAATTCCAGTGTTCCTATTGTAATCTTTTCTTAGACAAAAACACTAACCGTAGGTTTCACAGTGAACGAAATCCTCCGTCAAATAATCTGCTCCCCAGAAAACACTGGCACTCAGCTAGTGCGGGAAAGATTATGAAGCTCAATGTTTAGTAGAATATTTTTTGCCAATGAGCAAAACGCATGCAGCAGTACGCACCTTAATCGTGTGGACGGATTTTAAACTAATCATCCCGCTTGCGATAGAAATTTATAATCTGTACACCCAGGTAGCACCCCATACATCTAACGGAATGATAAATCCCCAACGAAAAGAAACGGGAGATGGGTAGTCGACGTTAAGTATGGGACAAATTGCTCAAACGTCATTTCTCAAGTCCACCGTGTAATATGCAGTTTGACCTTTCTAACAGACCTTAAATGCAAGGACTGTCGCGCTGCGGACTGAGGTTACAAAGAGATGAATGTCTTGATAACCAAATTGTGAGAAACACAGATAGGGTTCTTGAAGAAGAACCTAATCCATAAGCCAAAGGGTCTTGTTATCCGGTCAAATGATCCGATGTAGTGACTCAGTGGAAGCAAACCTCTTCCCTCGATCATCAGATATCAATCTTCCAACTAGCATATACTCTGCCTATACAAAATTCACAGTCCGCCCTAACGCAAACTGTCGTTGTTTTTTTCATAAAAAGACTGATGTAGTTCATGGAACAAAGTATTAACCAGTGGAGAAGTTCCCGCTTTGAAAACTGGCAGTTAAACCGTTGAAAAATCTGAGATAAATGAGAGTTTGGGCTTAACATACGCTCCTCGCATACACGAGTATCCCTGGCGTTTGTAAATTAAATGCCGAGAGAAATAAGATGGCGCGAGGATTCTTCAGAAAACTTTAGTGCAAGGCCTATTGGGTTAGTCTTATAACTCATTCAAAGGCTCAAGGTTTTTACATCTGGAAGGTGTACATTCAATTTTCGTTTCATGCATTTATTTATTGCTACTGGTCTTACACTTATATTCAATTGTCTCACATTGGGGATCAATCCGGGAATCCCACGGAATTTCCATTCATGAGACAGATAACCCAAAAGAAGTTAGCAACGGACTGAAGAGCACTTCAATTCTGCGACCGTGAGAAGAATAAACGGAACGCAAAGTAAACAGTAATTGATACATAACAAGAAACCAGCTGAAAATTCAATAACAGTGATCTGTGTAACGAGAAACGCGTGCGTACCTGAGGCTGTTGTCTATGCAAAAGCGGCTATTCAAATCATTCGGAAAACAGTCAGGGTCGCAGGTGAACTCCAATAAGCAGATGGCACAGGTTTCGTAACGACAAATAACCTGAGACGTCAAAAACAAACATGGAATGAACTATCGATTTCAGGTACTTTCGGTTATTCAAGTTGTACTCCCAAAGTGGTCGTTTATTAGACAAGTGCTAAACTGTGCCTTTGCATGAATGAGTAACGCAACATAAATGATATACTCATGGTCAACAACGTGGTATGTGGAATATGAATGAAACCGCACAGTTGTGTGGGTCAAAGGGGGTGAAATCTTAATTTCACTTTATCTGCTTAACGAGTTTAATGTTCATTCGGTAAACGGGCCCGTTTTAAATTACCAAGCACTGAATAAGTTGCAAAGATGCGATCACTGACTGGGTTAATGACGTTGCGTCGATGTTGAAAATATTCTATTTAATGAATATCATACCTTTCTACTCAGAAGTCCAGTTGATGTGACTTCGTGACCCAAGTAATCAGAGCGTCAGTGTGACGGTCAGCTATCCAATGACATCGAATGGTGTGACAGTATCTTTACGCACCACAAACTCGTGTACAACTTCGACGCACTTGTTACCTGATGAGAAGAAGCACCTAGGAGCCCTCTCGGGCCTCAATGAGCGATCTGTCGTTGAACTCAGTACTTATGTCTCCAGTTACACCGTCAGTCGATTACACAATTACGAACAACAGGTCTTTGTAAATGATTATTTTCAATGTTCCAATTCCGACAACATTGAACCACACCGCACGTTTTTGTTTCGGCAAATAACCTTAGTGACCGTTCTTCCAGTATGTGACGTGAATATTGTTCGATAGCGTGCAACTGAGCAGCGCACAATTTATCTGAGGCATGACTGACTCATATAACTCACGTGGAAAGCTTTGGATTGCACGTCAATGACAACACTTGGTATGGGGTTAAAAACATTTGACACTCTCGGGGGATATATATTTCCTAGGATAAATCGGTTCACCAAAGTTGGAATTGAAATCCGTTTGATTTCACTCTATGGTAATGAATTGTATCATCCGCATACCAAATTAGATCATTCTGGGTGGTTTGGTGACTGAAAACCTTTGACCTTCGTGTAGATTTTACCCGGTAGATATTGTTGTTTAAAGATCTGTTATCATTCTGATCGAATTTTTACACGCATGTTCGTACCCAGTTGAAGAAATAACACGAAACAGCTGGATTCAACCTGTTTTGTGATTGTGCTTGTTCTAGCCCTTATGAACTTGCAGAGAGTCAGTTAATAGCATTTCGTGCACAATGTAAGTCCTAAATACATTTTCAACGTTGACTTATGAATGAATAATGTAGACTCGTGTTATCCGACAGTAAAGGACACAGGCAACCACTGTAACCTGAGTTTGCATTGTCGGATCAACGTTTGCCACGGAAAACTTATTTCAGATGGAAGATTCCATCATTCAGTGGGGTCCAGTAGATTGCTGCCCCGTTCCATATTTAGACTGCTTTCGTAAATGCTATGGGACACTTTTCGAAACATATCTTAGCGAGATGAGCGGTAGAAAACGAGATGAACCTCGTAATTAAGAGGATAAACTATAAAAGGCATCACCTAAGACGTAGGGGTTGTTGTACAAAACTACATAAGGCACTAATAGAACAGGGTGAGTCAGACGATGCTGATCACAAAATTCGAGTGGGGTAGAGCTCGAACATACCTTACTGACAGATAAAGGTTCCAGCAAATGGAACTGCTCTACTATCAGGCAATGACGCTTACGGAACCAGTCATTTCCGATCAAGTGATAAAGTGAATTGACAAGAATTGTCATGTAAAAACCAAATGAATTGGATCTTTTGGATTCGCAGTTTCAAGATAAAAGCTGCACTTAATTAGCCAAAACAAAAATTAATTTGCTCTTTTTTTCTGCGCGTAAAAAGAAAACGAAGAATATTGTCGTGCTAAAATTGAAAACTATAAACTTACACGAGTCCCATCGAGACCGAACTTTTATTAAATGCATAGTAGTTTTACTTTCGCATGTTTAATCTTTATCTACGGTACTTAAACGTGAGTACTAGGAAGTTAAGAGTTTACCCTGCGGTTCCATACAACAGCGAGATGAACCAACTCTTATAAACTACTACTTTCTTGCATTCCTTTCAAACACCGTCATTTTATTTGTGTTGCATTTAATGCAAAGATAGTGGAGACTTGCCCTAGTGGTTGTATATAGAAACCAGAGGAAAATAACCAAATACTGTTACGTCCACGAATATGCTTAAATCGCCATTCGTGTTTGTCTTACATTGTTTCATTCTCATCCGTGGTGGCTGCATTACAATTCGTTTGGAGCATCGTCTCGGATAATGAACTGCTGATAACATCCACTACCTGAACCACGAAGAGACAAAAACATCCACCTCGACAGCAGCCATGGTTACTCCACTAAACATCCTAAGTCAAACCAATCAGCCATATGAAACGCAAAAAAGATAACATAGATCTATCGGAGCACAGGAGAAACTGTAAGAGATACTGAAGGCCAAGGGGTTCATTCATTCACTTTCCAAAGGAGAACAGCATTCCATTCACTAAAATAACCGATGCCAAATTCAGGTTGTGGAAGCAGTCAGTGAGCGAAATAAGTCATGTAAGTCATGCAGCAGACGAGTATACAACTCGGGATCAACGGAACTCCGTTGCTCCAACTCGACAGAGAAAAGCGGAACCTATTCAGGCAAAAGGAAAACGCTGAGGCGTGCATCTGGGGCCATATCTCGGAGAACTGCTCGACTGCTAGGCTAAACCAGGTTGAGGGCAACCGGGGTAATAAAAGCCTTAACGAGACGGTGAACGGTATGCGAAGACAGCTACTCCTGAATAGGTGGATGACAACTAAGGGCCATAAGGAAGCCTTTCCAACTAATGGGATTTAAGGACCTCTGAGTTGCACCTACCGAACGGGAATGAATTTCCATGGAGCCGCCGGCAACCATGCACTAACACGCTGCTGCCTTGCAGTCCGCATCTGGTTGTACAAATGATGGTGCGCCCTCGAAAAAGCTGCTTGACGCTGGGGTCGTCCCTAGTAAGAACCTGCCATACACACCAAAACCTGAAGAAGATGCATACACAAGGTCGAAGAGAAAAGAAGCTCTTTATACTTCGAATGAACTGAAGACCAAAGGTGTCAACTGTCGTTAAAAAGAGTGACACCTATCATCTGCTGATTACGATCACACAGAAAAACGAAAGGAAACTGAAACAATTCAGAACCGCCCATTTTGAAAAGTTCAATTAATTATATTAGAATACACCGAGCAACAAATAACTCTTACATAAGCAATATGAATGGCACGGGGATAAAAATGTTTGCGATCAGGCCGCAATTTCTACAAGTTCTTGGGGNGGGGCAATGGGTTTTTCGGGTGTTTATTTTCAAAGTGTTGCTTGTACGTCTTCAAATCCGGCATCTGTGTTTTGCACACTGTGCATGTGTGAATCAACGCCTTGCTTGCAGCCTTCTTTTGATCCACATTGCTTTTCTTCATTTCAGCCTGTTTTTTCGCATTTTTTTGCTGGGATTGGATTTTTTGCTGTCCACGTGCCATGATCGCTGAAATGCAAAAGGTAATTAGGAAGGACTGAAAGCTAACTAAATAAAGTTCATGGGTAAAAAGTCCAGCAGTATTCCGTTTCACCAAATTTTATAAAAAAAGAACGGCAGAAAAACATTTTCAGGCTGTCTTCGACGGGTCTTTTCCTAAATTGATACAGAGTAAACAACTTTGGGATGTTGNCGAACCTCGGTGTTACAGTGTAAGGCTGGTTTTGAAGTTAAAGCATGAACTCTTTGCAAGAGGGGGGCTGGAAGTCTTGATAACAAAAGAATAGCAGAAAATGACAGAGGGACGGTGTTTCAAACGAAAACTCAATCAGCGGGTAGGACATAGCAAGTTGATTTCTATTGTATTTCATTTTATTACACGCCAGTTGGGTGGTGGTGACGCAGTGGTTTAGTGGCTGTCACTGGCGTGCTTTGGATCTCATGGTCCGAGCCCCGTCACCGCCACCCACCTTTGGTGGTAAGCGGCTTTGCTGTCGTCCGGTTCAGAACCACGTCTAAACTAGCGGGGCCCTGTGTGGTTGACCACTCCAAGTCCCGGGGCTTAAGTTAGCGGTTTCCACGACGGAGCAGCACGTCTTCGTGATAACGGCGTTCATCGCGTCTGCTGCTCACCACAAAAATGTGTAAAATAAAAATATAGAAAAAATTGTGTGATGAACAACAGACGGAGTGAACCCCATAATCACGAGGAATAGTTCATCACTAATGAAAAATGTAACTTGAGGTGGTGAACTAAATAAGGCCCGGTTAGGCTAGGCATGATACTGAGTCAGAAGACAGACAATTAATCACCGTACCTTATTGTGAAAGGAACAGTATGCTTTGGGTTCGTGTCCTGAGTTGTCACCGGTATTCCTTCTCTAGCAACCCATGAAATGTTCCCTTGGGGCACCCACTTCTTTTTGGTTTCCACCAGCTCTCATCTATAGCTCCAAGTAGCTGTCCGGATGCAACAGTAACCAAACCACGATAAACCACTCGAAAGGTGGACCAAACCAAGCTGGGGATAACCGAAAGTTCAACTCTCTGTGTTGACCATAGGGGTTCACTTCCTTTGCCTCTCCAATTAGGCCCAACCCCTCTCCATCTTGTACTTTATCGCTTAATTTGTGTACATTGTATGGCAGCGGTCAGTGAAGTTCACACCACTGTACCTCGCTGTTCGATGACGATGAGTTTCTGCTTTATAAATGCCCATTTGGATGAGGAGTAAGGGGAAGATTGGAATAATCAATT